ACACTGAAACTCTAATACGCTTAAGAGTCTGCCATTGTGTGCCTGCTCAAACAGTTCTTAAGTGAGACGAGCTAAGCGTGCAACCCTTCTTTTGTAAGTGTACTCCTGTGCAGTGGTGCTGTTTGTCAAGATGCTGGTAAACTCGCACATTGAAAAGGAGAAAAGCTGTCGCACGTGATGTGGACGGTACGTGCGTGATGTCTCTTCTGTCTGCGTGCTTGCGAAGGACGTTGCATTCACGATACCCGTTTGGTGACTCTCGTGCATAACACAATCGTTGCAGTTGTGAATCAATGGTAAAGAAAAGTAGTATCAGAGCTGCTGGACACTAACGAGTAGCAGAATTAGTGGTTGCTGGAGTAGCGCCTAGGTCAAAGGAAACGGAGAAGAGAACACCAAAGAGAGGTTTGGTACAAGTAAATGGCGACTGCTGAGCACAAAACTCTTAGCAACTGCGACACTGCGGAACTAGGACTCCTTAACGCAAATGATTTCACTGAGAGCTTGCGATTCTTTGTCGACATAGAGATGTGTTGTGCTTTACTTACAGCAGTGAGACGCGTAAAGTCGTCTCACCTGTGTAAAAAGCGAGCGTTATCTTTGTTGGTGGAAACACAGCAAGTTGACTGTTGGAAAACAACGAGATGCGAGTCTCCACTAGAAGGCGTATTTGTCGCGTTGGCCGCTACTGATGCACTTCAACCCTTCGCGTATCACTGTGCAATTGTTTCACGCCTGTCTCATCAGTGCCTCGCTGTAATGAGGATTCACGATGGGAACGCATCTTCAAAAACGTCTTGAGGATTCGGTCCGCTCTATGAAACTCACCTCTGGCAGCACCTCGCGCATGAAAAGAATGTGCTACTCTCTCGGCTTTCACAGTGCGTACTATCTTCGAAATGACGCTGGTGTGGTAGTCTTCTGGAATAATTGGCATGCCATGATGTCTTCTGTTGCAGCTGGGGTGCAAAGCGTTGGTCCGAGAAGTGGAGCTCATAATGTTTTTATTTGTCGTTGGTGTGAGACTTGAAC